CTGAACAGAACCAAAATCGAAAAAGAATCAAGATAATAGGAGACGAATCGTACTGAACTGAATGCAATTTATTATTTTGGTTTTGGTTTTGGTTTTTATAAAGAATCATACTCGAACCGCACCGAAATCGTACCAACACCGAACTGAAAAATTGATTTGTCCATATATTTTTTCTTTAATGTTTCAGTATATTATGTTATTTATAGAAGACCTTAAATTTTATTATTTGAAAATAAAATATTTATTAATTGATACTCTTTAATTAATAATACAAATGGAGTATAACTTAAAATTATTTATCCGGCATAAAAAATTAATATCTAATGGTCTTGTCATCTCTTATTATATATAATATTTTAAAATATCATAATTCATAAATGTTTATACAGTATTTTCTATATTTATATTTTAAATAAAAAGTTTTTTTTAGATTATTTTAATTAAAAAGTCTTAATGTACTAACAAATTTATCGTGTGACAATAAATGTACTATCACTTTGGGGATTTCGTAGAACTTAAATTCTTTTTGTATACAATAGAAATAAAATTTCATTATTCAATTGTTAGTTAGATTTGTTGATATTTGTAATGTTTATGTTATTACTTTGGAGATTACTTAAAACTTGAAAGATGATGGGAGCTTCTTTTTACATAATGAATAAAAATAAAACTTCATTATTTTTTAATGTTTATACTTGTGTGGTACGATTCTTTTTTTTTTTTTTAATTAGCATATATTTTATATTTTATTTTGATATTAAAATATTTTTACATAAAGGAATCTTGTAATGTATTTGAAAAATACAATAATTTTAATAGGGGAATGGGAACTGCAAAACCAGAACTAGAACCAAATAATTGAAACCAAAAAACCGAAGAACCGCACCGAAATTTTGGTTCGATGTAATTCCGATTCTTTAGTCCTTTGGTTTCGATTTTGGTTCTTAAAAATGAAAGAACTAAATTTTTTATTCGGTTTCGGTTCTTCCTAAGAACCGTATCGGAACCGGATTTGAACAACTTTACTTATTATGGGTATAAAAACTAGCAAATCAAAATATATATTTGACATATTGCACAAATATGTAAAGAAAAAGAAAATCAACTATTCCACACAAAATGAATATAAAATAACTCAACACAAAATGAAGACAGATTAAATATAATAAAATAAATCTTTTTTATTGACTTGGTACATGCATCACCCATATATTGAGTGCAAGCAAAAAAATTTCAATAATTGTAGAGTATAAAAAGTTCATATGGGTCTCGTATAATTAATTTCTAGAAAAAATTTACTTAAATTGGGTCTATGGTCTTCAATCAAATATAATTTTTTTATTAAAATGAAAGTATTTGACCGTACACTTAAAATACAAAAGATAAAGTAAGATCAATATTTAAAAAAAATTTTTAATTTCATTAGTATAGTCCATAAGTGGGCCATAGACCCGGTCTAGACAAATGGTTTCCTTAATTTTTTACATTAAAGAATTAGTTGAAACATTGTTAGAGTCTAACCATATATATTTTCTTCCTTCTTTGTAAGAAAAACATTTTTCATTTTGCAATAAATAAATAGTCTCATCTCACACCAACTTCATCCAAAATTGCATTATTTAGTCACTTTTATGGATATATAGTACTTATTATAAATAACCCTCCATTAAAACTAATCCCAGTTTATCTAAGGAGGAGATAAATTCCAACTTTAACAAGAATAATTAATTGGTTTGAATTAAGCAAAGTCAAATCAATTTGCATAAGGGAATTTTATTTTTATAATTTTTCTAATATTGTGAAATTGAATTAGGGTTTTGTTTTGATTTTTCAAACTAATATAGTCAACCTTTTTCCAAATTCAATAATTTTATGAACCTTATTCCATTGACATAAATAAATACTAACTTATCCAAAATTGACTAAAAAATAAGACAGAATTTATGCAGTTTGGCCCTTGGTGGCTTTCATTAAAGCACCAACTTAATACCCATTTACTAAAAGTAGATTGATATTTATTATATTTAACCAAAATGACCCTTCCTTATCAATTCAAAATTTTCTTTTTTAAATATGTAACCGATAGGGTTAGTACAAATCGGTAAAGTTTTATTTTGGACCAAAGTGCTATAAATTAGGTCTTGTATAAAACAATCTTGTCGACCATTAGATTTTAAAATTATATCGGAATGATAGTACATATATACAATTTATCTCAATATAATTTTAAAATTTAATAATAAATAAATATATTTTGTACATCAAGATATAGTTTAGTAATAAGTGTATGTACGGCCTGACAATAGATTCAGGAACATCCACTCAATACTCAAAAAAATAAATAAGTATTTTTTTATATAAAATTTAACTTATAGTAAGAAAATCTATTCATTTTTTTATTTCTAATATTGAATTAAGTAATTAAAATTTTCATTATTTTTGTTTTTATATAAGCTATTTTTTTCGAGTGTTTAAAATGACTCCATACTCAGATCTAAAACTCGAAACCTCTAATTAAGAGAGAAAAAATTCATCTATGTCTATCTCACCACTTTGGGGTTAAAAAAGTCATTGTCTTTCTTCTTTTCAAACAAATTAATATAAAGTAAATTGAAATATAATGGAAAAATATCATTATCTCGTATTGCTTGCCAAGTATGCATATGAGTGAGATATACAATTAGCATACTTTGTAAAAATTATTATAATTTTGATAAAAGTGTGTAAATTATTTTTGGTTCCTACGTATATTTAGAATTCTTTTTGAAAAAATAGAAAAATATCACAAAACTTTTAGGAAAAAAAAAAAAGAAAATATAAACAAGACGGGCCACGCTGTCTAGTAGGTTAATTGATACTGCTTAACTTTGAAAAAAATATTTATAAAATAAGATTAATCGATAAAAGTTAAAGTATATATTACGTGAAAAATTTTAAAATTTTTAATCTAATTAACTCATTAATAATCAAAGAAGGAAATGATCTCTGGAAAATATTTTTAGTTCCGCATTGAAACAAGATATTGAAAAAGAATAAAAAAATATATAATATTAAAGCTGTATGATTGATCTAGATAGGTTGCCAATGTTACATCAATCAAGAGTCAGATCTCATTAATGTAAGAAAAAGTGAAAAATTTGAATTAATCAGTAATTTTTTAATAAATTATATGATTAAAGATGTGGACTTTTTTCAATACGAAGTCAGCACTGTGCTGAAAAAATAAATTTCAAAAAATAAAATGAGGTGATTATTTCTTCTAGAAGGGAGAAGAGGATTTTTTTTTTTTTTTTCTTTTCAGTTTGTTTGAAGCAAAGCAATATATTTTTAAATTATAGATTGTAACGACTGGAGAGAATTTTGCGACCACTTTTAGCCACCGTTTAACTGCAAATTTGCACTGTCGTATTTTGCACACGAGGTAGCATTTTGCGACCAAATATCTAAACTTAGCGATGACCATAACCAGTTGCAAATATGCGACCGACCTTGTTTTCGGTCGCAAATATATTAACCATTAGATTTTGCGTGGCCGATTCGGGTTGATAGCAAATCAGTTGTTCATTCATTCGTTGTAGTGCATGGAAAAGCCAAGGCTACATACCTTCTCAAGAAATACCAGGTCTCATCATATGGCTCTATAAGTATATGTGTTATTAACATGCTGACGATAACATTTTAAACTGCATGTCATTTCTTCCATTTAAAAAAAAAAAAATCTTTCTATATAAATATTACTATGCTTTGATAAAAAAATATTTTTTTTGATTTCTCTCCAATAATTTTATTTAGTATAATATGTTTTTAGTAAAATTGCTCTTTTAATTTTTAGGATAAAACAATTTAAAATATCATTTATTTTTTGCAAAAAAAAATCATTTATTTAATATGAAATTTTATTTTTTATTAATTAATCTTCAACATTTAACTTAAAGTATCAATTTTAAAATAATTGTAATTTCAATAAATTAAAATATATTGGAATTTGAGATTTTTATAATTAAAATATAGCATATATATTTATGTATATACTCCTTATGATTTTATTTATTTATTTATTTTATAGCCATAGTCAAACGGCGGGAGTTAAAGGTTGAACTGATATGTGAATAATAAGCGCCAAATGTCACTTGAAGAGGGTTAACTATTGGTTGCCACGTGGAGTCAAAGTTGATATAAATGGAAAATCTAACGGCCCATGTGTCCAGCTTTTAACTGATATTTTATGTTTGTATTGTTAATATTAGTCGAACCAATAAATTTTAAATATGGAATCGTTTCTAAAAAAAATATATTTAGATTTTGAAGATAAAGTTATATGTGATCATAAATCATTAAACTTATTTTTATTGGATTAATTTTTTATTTCAATGTTTGATTCAGAATGTAGGCGTTTTAAATTTTAATACTTTTTCCTTTTAAAAGTTTATAATATATTGATAAATAAAACTCCATAATTATATCAGTAGTTGTAAAATCTCGTAATACAATTAAAAAAAATAATTAATTATATTGATAAATAAATAAATAGTCCAAATAACACAATTTAATAAAAAAATATTTATTATTTTATATGTAGCAAAAAAAAAAAAAAAGGGACATATTTTTTTTATATGTAGCAAAAAAAAAAAAAAAGGGAAGAAAATAGATAATAATGAGTGTTATTCCTCTTTAATTGATAATTAAATTGTTGTTGTTTCCTAAGTGATTTATGGGTGTTGTCATTTAATTTTTCTGGTTGTTTTAGCTTTCAATATCTTTTTAAGTACTGGTGGATATTTAAATTAGGTTTAGCTGTTCTATTCACTTTAATTTAGTTGACATTTAATTTCTTGGTGTTTTCTATTAAATTCTTAGGTGGTGCTACTGCTTTCTCTTTTCTTTTTTTCAAAATAAAATAAAAATGTATATATATTAATTCCAATTAATAAAAGCAATTTGGTCTTTCCTGTGCCATATTGCTCTCAAAGACTTTAAAACACCGACCCCTCTTCTTTCTTTTCCTCTCCTAAAAGCAATGAATGAAAGAAAGGGTTTGCTGCCAATTTGTAATTGCAATATTTACTCCAATTTTCCTCCTCCTGCTTGCTCCTTGGGATTTTTCCAATTCATTAATACATTTCCTGGCCGCAATTTACACTCTTCCTCCACACAACACTTCAATTCAATTCAATTCAATTCAATTCTCTCTCTCTCTCTCTCTCTCTCTCTTCCTACACTCTCCACCTCTCCTTCCCATAATTAAATTTAGGCTTTAAAGCAAATACCTATTTCTCTCTCTCTTCAGTTTTTCCCCTTTATATATAATGGCCTTACAGGGTCAAACCCACCAACACCAACCCTCTCACCAAGATCATTTTGATGGTTTTAGTGTTATTAGTCATGCTTCAACCCTAGCAATTTCAGTTACTACTAATACTACTCTTGATCTCTTTCATACTACTAACCCTTCTTCTTCTTCTTCTTCTTCATATATTGAACTAGAAGAACCCTCTCCTTTGCCTTTAGGTTGCCAGAAGTTCCTTGATCTTAAGGTAAGGTCATCAAGTTGTACTTTTGTGAGGGTTAATTAGGACTTCTACAAGGTGTTGAGTTTGCATTTTGAAATTTTACAGTCCTGCAATTTGTTTACTTACTATATGTATTTTAGTTGATGAATTGAACTCTAACTTGCTCTGTTTTTAGACAGGTGAAATATACTACACAAAGAACAAAAACAAGATGAATAGAAGAAACGGTAATGGAGGACCAAAGCTTGAGTTGAAGCTGAATTTATCACCTCCAAGGGATAATCCGAGAGTGGAGTCGCCAACGCGATCAGCAACGGTTTCACCAACATCACCACCAAGTTCATGTGTATCATCAGAGCTTAACCAAGAAGATGCTCTGCGATACACAAATAGCCCTGAAGCTACTTCAATGGTCCTTGTTGGATGTCCTAGGTGCCTCATGTATGTTATGCTGTCTGAAAATGACCCTAAATGCCCCAAGTGCAAGAGTACTGTGTTGCTCGATTTTCTCCATGACAATACTACCCAAACAAGGAACAATTGAAACAAAGAAAAACGAAAAAAGGAAAAACAGAGTAGGGTTCCTTGTTCTGATTGTGCAACCATTAGGATTAATAGGCTCTCTATATCTTGCTTCTTTTTTTTTTGTATCTAAAATAGTGCTATCTGGGCTCCATTTTCTTTTTTATGGGTGGAGGTTTAAAATTGGTACGAATGTAGGGAAAGAGAAAGTTAGGAAAATAAAAAAGTTGGAGCCTGAATAGTACTATTTCTTTTTTTCTTTTTTCTTTTTTTTTGTTTCTTTTTTTTTTTAAATTCTAGTCATAAAAAAAAAAAAAAAAAAAAAAAAAAAAAGAAAATGGGATATATGAACTCAGAGGCAGTAGTAGTCTCTGTTTCTTTTTGGGTTCAGCTTTCTTCCCTCTTTAGCAGAAGACAATGTAAGCTGGTTAGTTTCAGCAGGCCAGATTTTCCAATGAATGTTAGGTATTTTATGATTTTATTTTATCTCCCCCCACCCCCCTTGTTTTTTTGTTTCAATCTACTTTGAAGAAAGTCTATTATATTTTCTGACAGCCAGTTGGGTTATGCCATGTTGACGATTACACGGCACTGACACATCGTCCATGTCAGCTAAACTAATGGGAATGTGAATAATCAGTTAGTTTACTTGGTAATCATGAGATGGGTAAATCTGTGACAAGAAGAAGAACCCTTTTTTACTTGAAAGCAGATTTTGAACATAGCAGTGGCTGTGACTAAAGGCCCCACCGCGTCATGAAATAACCCACGCCTAGCTTAATTTTCACCAACAGTAGACTTCATGGGGACCAAACCTATGCTCATTTGCACCTAATGATGATTACAGGTTAATCTCTCTATCCTGGAAAACAGATATCTATACCCGAACCCAACTAGGTATGGATTACGATTTTATTCGAGTTAATGTTTAATACGCTAATCTCTAAATCACTGACTAAACCAACTAGTTTCAGAACAATGTTTGATTTGAGTTGTTATTTAAGTTAGTAATTAACTGCTAATCTCTAAATACGCTAATCTCTAAATCACTGACTAAACCAACTAGTTTCAGAACAATGTTTGATTTGAGTTGTTATTTAAGTTAGTAATTAACTGCTAATCTCTAAATCACTGGGCAAAACAGATAAAACATAATTCTTAATGGAGATGATGACTATATATGCTAAAAACAAAAGCTTATAGGATGACTAAGGATTCACCACTAGGCAACAAAGAGAACAAATGTGATTATGTTCTTAGCCAAGAAGCACATTAGGAACATGTTGTTGACTTTACCGTTTTGATTCACAGAATAATACAAAAACATCCGCAACCTAAAAGAAAGCAGGAGGAGTAGGCAAGTGTCAAGGCTATGAAATGACAAATCTTTGCCGAGTTAGGGCCCTAAAGTTTCACAATTGGGCAACCCTTTAACGGTCTTTATTGCTTGCTTCTTGCTAGTTAGATATCAACAAGAACAAGATCAAGATCAAAAACCAGATTAAACACAAGAGGAAACATTGTTATTTATCCTAAAAACCACATTAACAGAAAGATTTTGATACATATAGGTCAGATAATTATATTGAAGGAAAAAGGTGGGGGCAATTAAGTAAATGAAGAAAGAAGGGGAAGTCGGGTAGTTCGGGCATTGAAAAAAGAGGGGCTATATTAGATTGAAACGCCATTAAAACACATAAATGCAAGAGTAATTGAGACAGTTGGGCATAATGAAGGGCTATTACGTCAGATGATAAATACAAATTTAATTCCACCTTGGGCTATTGTTCAATCTTTCTTTTCTTCAATTTTTTCCTTTCCTTTTCACTACCCTTCTTACCAATCACTCAATGCAACCTCTCTGTTGCCATTCTCTATTTTGGCAAAACCCTTCTCGACTATGACTATCATTCCTTGTCCATGTTCTCACCATTAATTTCTGTTTATTGTTTTCAAACCATCTTCCTCATCTCACACATAAGGTTTATTAGGCAATGAGGTTAGGAACCGTTTTTCCAACGAGGACTACTTTATATTATTGGGAAAAAAAAAAGAGAACTATTTGAAATTGTTATTTAGTACTTTAAAGCTTTTATAGCTAAATAATGTCAAATTTACTATACGTAGATATTTAAAAAAATCCATAAAGACATTTTTTTTATACCATTTAATTATTAACATTTTTAATATATTTCATCCCTTCCACTTTAATAGTAACAAATAGGGATTTTATTTCGTTCCACTTTAAGTGCTCATTTAGGATTTTGAGACTACATTAATTATTTTTTTTCAATTTATCCATATTTATTAGGTGTTTTGTAACCAAATTAAATGAGAAGCTTTTAATTTTAAAAAAGAAAATTTAGATATTCTACCATATATTTTTTTTGAAAATTAATGTATTCTAATCATTTTTGTAATCATTGTGAAAGATCAAATATTACTATTAAAGTGAAATGAAGGGAGTAATGTTTTTTCTCAATAAAAACTCAAACAACCACATCAAGAAAACTCATACTACTCTCTCTCCCCGCAAATATGCACATAGATATCATACTATTGAAATTACACATTAAAAGCCCAGGGAGTGCCAAAAAAAAAGCATTATCTCATGTTTTTCCATTTCTCCAAGTATTGTAGAAAAATAGGAATAAAAATAGGATATCATACTCTCTCTCTCTCTCTCTCTCTCTCAAATAGGATATCATACTCCTCTCTCTCTCCTCTCCTCATCTCTCTCTCTCTATATATATATATATATATATACTATGTATATAATATAATTATATTAGTATATATGGTCAAAGGCAAATAGAGTATAGCCTAAGATCATGACAGACAATCAGAACCGACCCAACGTAAACCGAATATGGTGACATCATCATGCCAGGTGGACAAAGAAAAAGAGGGCCATCTAACGTGATAATGAAGAAGGGCCAACATAAACAGCAATCTGAAAATCATCAAAATTTCAATAAAGTCTTTAATGAGAATTTTTATTGCAATTTTGCAATAAGCATAATCGTCACTTTAAAAATTATTGGAAAAATTATCCACCGTCTAATATTAATCAAAGTTAGGACCAATGGTTTAAATGTGTTTGATTGTATCTATATATATATATATATATATAATGTCAAAGGCAAAGAGTATAGCCTAAGTCATGCACATCAGAAACGACCCAAGTAAACGAATATGGTGACATCATCATGCCAGGTGGACAAAGAAAAGAGGGCCACTCTAACGTGAAATGAAGAAGGCCAACATAAACACAATCTGAAAATCATCATTCAAAGGTCTTAATGAGAATTTTATTGCAATTTTGCATAAGCATATCCGTACATAAAATTATGGAAATTATCCACCGTCTAATATTATCAAAGTTAGGACCAAAGTTTAATGTGTTTGACTTGTATCAGTAATACTATAAATTATCAGAAACAGTAATTGCCAGACGAAGCATTAGTGACATTTGTTTCTCTCATCTTTATTATGAGGTGCATATGCATGAACATAAATTTAAAGTTAACAATATAGGAAGAAACCAATAAATTTTTTTCTACAAATTCTATTAGATCAGTAAAATTAACTTGAAAAATGTTTTCTATGTTACTAAAACAAATAAACTAACCTCAAGCTATCACTGGTAGACTGCTACATTTGTTGGTGAATTCTCGAGCTCTGACGTGACCTAAGACTGATGTAATCAATTGCTTTTCATGTAGAGACAGCAAGCACATGATACTCAATTTCCTTGACCTGAACCACGAAGTCAAACACAATCCTCGAATTCTTATGGATGTGTCAATAGGACCTGCAATTAAAGATCAGAGTAAGTTCCTAAACAAAAGTTCATCAGAAAAAAATTATTATATTATTTTTTTTTTCCCTGAATTCAGAAATAGCCAATCTACAGCTAACATGTGGTCTTACAATATTCTCCACTAGCCAAGGATGTAGATAACAAGAAAACAAACCAAACATCAATCGCTAAATAAGGCATTCCAATATAAGAATATGTAATTAACAGAACAGAGCAAGAGTCTATAGCTGTCATGAATAATCTGCATACACGAAAAACATGATGCATTAGATGAAACTGCTAAACTAGGAAATCTAGCAGGATATATACTTAATTAGCAAATATGAGAAACTAGAGTCCACCAAAAGGATTGCATGACATGGGAGTGTTCCCATTGATCACCTAAGCTGAAGAAAACAAATCAGTAGAGGGGGAAAAAAAAAAAGAAAAAAGAAGTTTATGAATTAATTTAATTTGATGTTTAACATGTAAATTTAGATTATTGTGACTAGAGTCTAACATAACTTCCTTTTTATGAAATATAAGTTCATTATTATTTGGGAATTTTCTTATTTTAAAAGTGTTGCTTCCTAGTTGGTATCAGTTTAGAATTTTCCTGGTTTGATTCAGGTCAATAAATATTCCTGTAACCTAGTTATTTAGGTTTTTCTTAAAACAGAATTTCAAAAATATTTTGATTTAATTTGAAAGGTCAGTGTGTCTGGCAGACTCTTCTCTTTTCTCCTCCTATACTTTTCATTTACAGTGCTGCAGTGCCACAAGTTACTGTTGACAGCTTCAAAACCACAAAGAATTCTTATTATGGAGAAGGAAGCAATTTGTGCAAAGAACTTCACAGCTTACAAATAAACAAATCTTGATTCATCCCATTAATGTCCTTATTAGCTGTTACTGCCGTCATCCTCACCAAAATACATAACACGTCAAACAGAGCTCAATATCGCAGAAAATATATATCAGCATTATACAACCTAGAAAATACCAATGTGTTGTTTCTACATATTGTAGCAAACAAATATTAATCATCACTCGGTAGGATATCAAGGAAGGAAATCAACTGGAAAAACATAGACTCCTATATAATTAATAAGGATCCATGATACTGCTTACCGGAAGATCCTCGACTGAAGGGAGAGGGGTCCCATGCTCCCTTGTGAAGGAGAGGGGCCATACGAACAGGTTGAATGATAAATATTCCCTTTTTTTACATCACTTACAATTTTTGTAGCTTTTATGTTCATTGGTTAAGTGGCGTGAAACTCCACATTAAACATCTTATTGTCTCACAGCAAACTGATCATGTAGAAGTGCAAACCAAAAAGATAATACTTGTGATAAAGGAGCTTGTCCAACACTTAAGCCTAAGCTCAACCAGCAGAACCATCATGGATAAGCTGAAATGAGAGAACTACCAAGTTCAAACATTAACGGAGAAACTAATGATACACCATAATTCAATTAAGAAATGTTCGTTGAGAACTTTACCTTCTGTGCACTTCAGATTGAAGATGACAATTTCACAACCTCAATCAAGTAATGGCACCACCCAGAATGATGAGAAAGCTGGTACTGGCAATGAGAACTGATGATGAGAACAATTACTATTATCATTGCTTATATAAAGTCATATATACATAAAGGCATTTCCACCAGGATTAAAGAACCTCTACACTTGATTGATGCTATGAACCAATTTCTAAAGACACTAAGGTTTTCATAAAACATATAAATAAACTTGTTCAACTGAGGGAAGGGAAATTGAACAAAGACGCTAATTTAAGGCAAAAGTTGAAGTTAAGCTCGAATCAAGTCAGTGAAACTGTATAGCAGGTCCTTCGAGCAATTTTTGATATAAAAAAAATTCATCACCCACCATGTTCCTTACATTTTTGCTTTTGAGCTCTTCAGTGAAATTGCACCATAAGCCAGGTTCTTAAAATTACCACTTCCATTCTTTTTTTTTTTTTTTCTGAAAGGAGATTTTCATTTGCAATTTGCGAAAAACAACATAAAAGCATGTAAAAATACAGTTAAAAATTGCACTTAAACTTTTTTATATTTAATGGAGGAAATCAAAGTAATTAGTGTCTAGTTGCAACCATTTCTCCTTGATCTTGTACACATCTCAATCCCCCTATTTGAGGTGAAGTCATGTTCTAGAGTTCATCAAGAAAAAAGGTAGAAACTGAAAATGAACATTTCAAGGAGACTGCCTGCACTGCAGAGATGGAAAAAGCCAATCTAAGAACCCCACTTTAATTTTCACAATAATCAGCAAATCTTCTTCTAAGTGCAGCTAAGCTGCTTAGTTGGAAAAGTCATCTGATGATTTTCAATGCAAGACAACATAAGGATTCAGAATCCTCCATGGTTGTTAAAATCCAGCATCCTTCAAGAGAGTCTCCTAGGGTAATGAACTTTAAAATAATTGGCTTTGTATCAGAGCTGAACCAGCCTAAGCTTAAAGTTAAGCACTAACTTCTGTCCAATTCTATGCTATCACTAGAACTACCCAAGTCCCCAACCCAAACATAGACACACCCCTCTGTCCTTCCTTTTCTCTCTGTCGCACACATGCATGCACAGAAACATTGCAGGCAACATCACACCACAGAAATTTCACACAACTACCATGGATCTCTGTTCATTTTCAAATAAGCAGGCAGGCAAACAATCTCCATTAATTATTTGGTCAGAACATACAATGCCTGCTATCTTACACTAGGAGAACCATTTCTTTACATGATATTTTAGCATAAATTTCAAGATAGATTCGCCTCTCACAATTGACAAAGAAAAAAAAAAAAAGAAAAACAAAAACATAATGCAACAGTTTCTCTGATGTAGGTCAGGATGAGCAATATGCCTTTCACAATACTCGAAGTATATTCATCAATCAAACCATATATTCTCAAGAAATTTTGAATTTCATAATTATGAATTGAACCAAAATAGTTCCTAATTTATTTTTTCTAGCATGCGAATTCTTGATGCTTGTCACAGTATAAACCTACCAAGACATATGGTCATATATTATTTTATGCCAGCATATCAGTAAGAACAGTTTCATTCATAATAAAATTTGTGGGGAAAAATTTTGAGCTGAAATTGGGATTGAAGTGGAATAATTTCATGAATGACAATTAGGAAGCGAGTGAATGTATGATTTCTTACAGGAAGCATGCTATGACCTACAGGAACACAGGAGAACAACTTCTTAAAGCACACATGTGCTAGGCAGTAAGATTCAACTCTTATCAGAAAATTCAGGGCAATAAGGCTCAATAAGTATTATGTACAGCTAAAAGATAAAGATCCACTATAGCATCAAACGCACACCAAAAAGAAGACTATCTAAATCAGGAAAAGACTTTTACTAATTTCATCTTCATTTCAAAACGTGTACAACTGCTGAACATCCTAGCTCAAGACTAAACCTTCTAAATACAATCATATGGATTCTAAAAGTTCAGCAAAACATTATAATCATGTGAAACATATCCTGGATGTTACCTGTTCAAAGTTTCTCCTCGATTACCCAACAGAAATATTGCATATAATTCCAATAAGAGTAGGGTTTGAAGTATGAATTTTGAACGAAATACCAATAAAATATCTTTCATAGATTCTATCAGGCCAATTCTTTCCATCCACTACTACTTCTGATATATTTGTCAACTATACCAAATTCCCTGTTCTGCTCTACTCGCCTGGCATAGTTCTCAATGGAGATAGGACCCTTCTTCAACCTTCTATAGTAGATTACCTCCCAAGGCCACAAGCGAGCAGAACCAAAGTAAGCCTCTGTTTGTAAATGCCTATCATTTGTATCCTGAAGATCGAGCCCATAATAATGCTTCAACACCTTGCATAACTCCTCTGAGGAAAGGGTTATTGAATGGTCAGAGCATGAACTGACACGATTTCCTGAATCTAGGTTGTTCAGTGGAATAGGCACGTGCTCCATCATTAATTCATCAGAATTTTGACAGTCCATTTCTACAAGCCCCTTTGTACAGAAACTCCCGGTGTCAACTGTGCCTTTGTCACCTGCTGTTGTGCTTGGATCTGCTACTTCATGCAATGACCCAGATGCCACCTTGTGGTCTTCATGATCGTTTTCCACAGGCTGGTCCTTCTCTATTTCAATTACCATTTTGGAAGGAGGTGCTGCATTTTCATTGTTCGCCACCACCATTCCATTTTCTAGGTTTGAATCCCCCAACCAGTTATCACCTTCAACCAGTTGCCCTTTCTCAATAGATTCAGAAGTTGTACCATTATCTGAAGATCCCTTCAGATTAACATGAGCCTTATTTGAAGAAGAATGTAAGGGACAACCAAGTGAGACAGACAAAGATGTTCTGGAGCTTGACCTTGCTCTAGACTTGGAGACTTTGGATCTAGAAAAATATGTTGTTGGACTAGACCTTGATTGAGACAACAATGAACCGGCCCTTGAAGATACTGACCTTGATATAGACTTTTTGTAAGACCTATTTACATGCTCAGAGGATCGAGATGCTGAGTGAGATGGTGATGCAGTGTAATCAGAATTGGAGGGAGATAAAAATGAACTTCTTGCTTTCTTTGAGCTCTGTCCTTTTGGAGATCCAATTTCCTTCCAACTTCGTTTATTTCTGTCATATTGCTTTTTCTTAGACATATCAGTTTCCCTTCCTACAGGGGAGCTTCTACTGCGTCTTGATCTTTGATGTTTTCCTAAGCCAGATGATTTCATATCATTCTCAAGTTGCCTTCCGGGATTTGCATCCCCACCCGACCGCAGCCTTTCCCCTGACCCGGATCCAAACTTTTCCAGTTCACTTTCATGCTCACCTCTTTTATTGATTTCATCATCATGCCTACTGTCAGACGTAGAGGACTTTCTAAGTGAAGTATTTTCCTGGGGACAATTGCGTTTCTTGTGACCTGAACCTCCACATCTGTAGCAAGTAACCTGGAGTTTCCCATCATTAGGACGTTTCAACTTCACTTCACTAATGTGATCTGTTCCTATACCTTTTGGAGGGCTTTGTATGCCAGAAGAATCATCGCGATGGACCATCTGACGTATTTCATCATTAGTTTTTCTATCTTTACCTTGTAAAGGTTCGTATCTGTCAAATTCTACAGCATGGTCAACACCCTTTTCATTCACTTTGTCATGAAATTGCTTGCCCCACCTATCAGCTGGCACAGGCTCAAACCTATCACCTTCACTCAAAAAATCTTCCTTATATCCATGATGCTCTTCCTCCAAGTTATTTTTGGGATCATACTTGAGGTATGTTGCCTCTTTATCAAGCTTGTCAGTTGAACCATGCCTTCTGCTGAAAACATCTGATTGCTTGACACTCATCCTGTAATCCTGATTATTAGAACCCAACTTTCCTTTAGCATAATCCCCTCCTTTAACAAAATACATGCCATGCTGTGGCTTATTATGGGATCTTGTAGACCTCACTGATCTCTCAAATGGTCTAGGCTGTTTATTTGACCATGTGAGAGTTAATGGCTCACCACAAATGTACTTCTTTTGTAGTGCTCTCAAAGCTTTCTTTGCATTTGGAGGGAATTCATATACTACAAATCCATATCCATCTTTCAATCGTACATTGCATCGCCCAAACTTTTGGAAGACATGTTGTAGTTCATCTTGTCGACTGCGTGATGACAGATTACCAATATACAGAGACATCACTGCAACAAATTTAATCTGTTAATAAATTTAAAATAAAAAAATAAAAAAAAAATAAAAAAAAAAAAAAAAATACACAAATCCCTATCCATCTTTCAATCGTACATTGCAACCTCCGCCCAAACCTCACTTTTGGAGACATGTTTGTACGTTCATTATTGTCGACTGCGTACGCTGACAGATCATACAATATACAGAGACATAACAAAAAAATTTAATCGTTAATAAATTAAAAAAATAAACAAAAATCAAAAAAAAAAAACTATTAAATAAAAAAAAAAAAAAAAAAAAAAAAAAAAAAAAAAAAACCTATTAATTTTCAAGAGAAATAGATTGCACTTTTACAACAACAGATACGATTACTCTACATATATCTGAAGCATTTTTATGCACTACCCAAACAACAATTTAATGGACCTATGGTTCCTTAGTTGATTTCTGTTCTTCACAGGGGAAAAGTGAAAACAAGTCATTGCATTCAGCATCTGAGAAACCCAAGACCATAGTAAGCTCATGCAATTCTGCTATTATGCTAGAAAAACAAGTCCATCAGTGTTAAGACATCAGGTTTTAATATTTTATTTGCTGTACCACGAAGCAGCAGCTTGTTTCACATGATATGTATAAAGCCCATTCATTGTTTTCTATTTTTTCTCTCTGAAAAACATAAAGCCGGAATTTTATTTTTTAACAAATAGAACAAAACACCACTTTTCTCCGCATTTTTGCCAAAAAGGCAAAAACCCTAGTAAATAATTTCTCATAGACGTTTTAGATCCTCATCGACTGCCTCAACAATTAGTATCAACCACAAATATGTAACTCAAATCCGTATAATCATGCAAACCAATGAAAAATGATATAAAATACCTTATTTTGAATGTACAGTTTCTGGAAGCACAAACGACAAGTTGGAGAAAAAAAATTTAAACCTTATAAAAAAGTCCACCAATTCAAATAACAGAAAACAACAAAATCAGCGGATAAACAGGGAAGATGAAGATGATAGTGGGAATTTCATCGAACACCTGGTATGCATTTAAAACATAAGCATGAAACAGCAATAGACAACGTGAAATGGTCAAGTAGAAGAGGAAAAACAGTAATACCAGAAGAAAGTAATAGAAAACAATCGATTGCTTCACTTGGAATCTGTCTTAGTCTTGCTCGCTCGCTCGCTCGCTCGCTTGTGACCTGACCTGTACTGTACGTTGAATCGCGCTAGCGGAGGGTCTGGACTCCTTAGTGGTCTTATTTGCCTCAAGTCCTGATGCCTTGTTTTTCCTTCCTTTCCTTTTCCCATACACTTCTACGCTCTTTCTTCTCATATTTTGTAGACGTGGCAGGTATTTAGTGGTTCTGATCCGCAGTTGTGAGCCACTCGATGACCAACAGGTTGACGGGATTATTGGTGAATACCATTAGAAATTTCAATTCAAAATGACCAAAATAAAAAATTAACAATTTAAATTCAATACATTTTTCCTATTTTAAAAATATAACTAGAGTCAAATGAATAAATTTATGATAAACATTATCAGTTTTTTACAGAAATAAATCAATTTGCTCCATGAACTTAAAAACAATATTCAATTTATTCAAAAGTCAATTTTTTGTATAATTTACCTCTGAATTTGCATAAAAAAATAAAACACCTAATTTTTTATAAAAATTTTTTAAAATATTTTTAACCAATAAAAATTTTTAAAAATTTTGAAATTAAGAAGGGAAAATTATTTGAAGACATACCAATAATTATAAAAAAAAATATAGTGTTTTATCTTTGATTTAAAAAATAACTAAACAAAGTATTTGATTTAAAAAATTATAAAATTAGAAAATATTTGATCATATGAGTATTTAGTTTAAAAATTTTTATTTTTTTAGTTATTTTCTAATTGTACTTTATCTAAATAAAATATTTCGTTAGTTTTTAATTATATTTTATTTTAAATTAAATTTATTTTGAGTAATAAATTGGTCCTTTTTTTGTGCTAATTTATAGTGTAAATTGTACAAAAAGTTGATTTTGAACAAATTGAATATTGCTCCTAAGTTCACAGGGCAAATTGAGCTTTATTCTTTTTTTATATATTTACATTTTTTTTTTTCAAACTCTCACCTCTAGTCATAAAATATTTAGTTTTTTTATGCAAATTCATTAAACTAAATCATTAAAGACAACCTCAAAAATAAAACTAAAAGGGATCGAATAATAGAATCCCGTTCTTTCAAACCAATCAAAAATGTAAGCATGAATTATAAGTAAATGAGCAACTTTATTCGATAATTTTTTTAAAAATAATAATAATAATAGAACAAAAACAAAGTTTTTGAATTAGAAATCTGCATTCTAAAATTAAACTACAAAAGTAAGACAAATTCTCCTCATTGATTTTCAGCGGTTGTGCCAATCCAAAAACTTAGTAGAGTATTTTTGGTAATTTCAATAATACACTCTCTATTTCCACTCTTATATAGACTAATTTTTTATAATGTGCGTTGCGAATTATTATTGCTCATTTTATACTCGTTTTTTATTTTGTATGATATTAAGTATAATTATATTTATTTTTCTAAATTTTTATAATGTTACGACATAATTTCATATTGAAATTAAAACATGAATATAATAACTAAGTAATGAAAAAATAAAAATTACATTAAAATTAAAATATGCTAAAACTTTTTAAGCAATTAATCCCACAGTGAAACAACTCTATACCATATCTCATAAAATAGATCAATGGATTCTAATTTTATGACCTATAGTATTTTGAATTACTACTTCCTAATATCATCATCAGCTGTACCTTAAAAAAGATCTACTTACTACAAAAATTACCTGATTTTTAATAGATAAATGAGTATTCAACATACATGCACATTCTCTTCTAGATTTTTTTTTATGACGTCCATTGCACGTTGTCATTGTTCATTTTTTTTTACTTGTTATTTATACTCATTTTTTATTTTTAAATATTAAATATTAATTATAATTTTATCTTATATTATTTAGATTTTTAAAATGTTAAAATAAAATTTCATATGAGATTATTTTTTATAACGTCCTTGCACGTTGTCATTGGTTTCATTTTTTTTTTACTTGTTTTTAATCTTCAATTTTTTAATTATTTAAAATATTTAAATATTAATTATAATTTTATCTTATCTTATTTTAGATTTTTAAAACGTTTTAAAATAAAATTTCCATATGAGATTAATAATTTTATCTTATATTATTTAGATTTTTAAAATGTTAAAATAAAATTTCATATGAGATTAATGTAAATATAACGGTTAAATAATAAAACAACAGTATACATACACACTTCAGTTCAATTTATATCATCAATTATCTAAAATTCATTATAACTATATATACACAATTCTACATCACCTAACAAATATGTTTCAATGTATGTACGTGTACATATAAAAGCTTATGTTCAAAACTTAAACATGCATTTAATAATAAATTTACTTCCTATCTTAAAAAAAAAAAGGCAAAAAATATAACAATGTTTATTGTCGACGCATGTATATTTATTGAATTATGGATATCAAACTTGATTAAAAGAAAATGAGATATGAAAAATATAATATAGAAGATACTTTTTAATATTCTAATATATATTAAATAAATAAGCAAATAAAAAATTATATAACATGTAAATTAATCATCCAGTCAAAATTTTATGAAAAGACAAAGTAATTATTTTTAACCTTTGTAAAAAACATAAATAAAAGGTTGAGAAAAGATAGCATCAAGTCGACATTTATAAAATTTCTCTTTATCTCAACTTTCTATATAGATAAATAGATATAAAAATAAAATTATTATATTTTTTTGAAATTAATATTTTAACCATTCGTCATCTCCATATACACATATGTTTATTTTATTTAAAAATAAAATTTAAAAAATAAAAATTTTAAAAGGTTTGATTATGTATATTATATTTGAAATTTCATTTAAAAAAATATTATCCAATCAAATCATATATAAAAAATATTAATAAAAGAATATATTTTCTTTTTTATCTCTGTCATAAATGAAATGTTTAATAAAAAACAAATTTTATCTTTGCTAAATAAAAAATTGAAAAAAAATATAAAAATTTTCAAATATATCTTTATCATATATATTTATTAAAAATAAATTTAAAAAAATTTGAAACAAAATTCTAAATACTTAATTATCTATATGTATTTATTTAAAAAATAATTTAAATAAATTATATTCAATCAACAGTTTCAAGCCCATTAAGGACTAGATCCCAGGAGATCATTTGTAAATTATAAATAACATTTACATATAGTATAAGATAAATTGTAGATTATAGATTATAGAGAGATATAACTTAAAATACATTTTTCATTATAACAACAACCACTGTTCAAATTTTACCAAACAGTAACATTTACAGCTAATCGCTAATAGTCACTAATTATCAGTTATCAACAATTGCTATACGATATCAACTAATATTTGAATAGTTGAACTAAAACGCATTCAAACTAATATTAGTTTTTAGAGTTTGAGGGAATGAATTATATAAGGTTACTTTCTTTTTTTTTTTTTTTACTTTTCATAAAATACTAATTGAAATGCTGATAGCTATTCTATCTTATATATAAATGTGGGAATAAGGTGAAAATAATGAGATTTCCTATAATAGTCTTAGTTTAATTTGGAATTCCTAATATATCATTTTAATTCAATTTTTTATGCATCATAATGGGAGAAAATAGGTTCATTTATCATTTTGAAAATCTTTTTACTTATATTTTTTTTAAGCATTTTAATTTGAGAAAATAGATTATATTTATCTTTTTTAATATCCTTTTAATTAAATTTTTTATACATTTTAATTTGAGAAAATATGTATATTTTTATTCTCTGTTTTATCTTACATCATTATTGTCCAATGGTTTTTATAATTAATAGGTTTTAATATTTTTAATTATATGTCCTCACCTTATATTGTCTTCTAAGAGGTAAGTCAAAAACATTTATTAAAGTATTGAAAATGAAACTTAAAATTTTAAATTTATTATGTTTTGACTTTTTAAAAATTAAAGTATTGAAAATGAAACTTAAAATTTTAAATTTATTATGTTTTGACTTTTTAAAAATATGGTTAAACACTTTACTATTAGAGTCTATTAGTTAAATACAATGAAATTAATATTTTTTTCTTTGATTTTTTTGGAGTGAATGGTGTATATTTATTTGGATTATTTCACATATTATTGATTTTAAAATTATTTATACTTCTAATTTAACAAAAACAATAGAAGTGTGGGAATATAGTATTTGACTGATATATCAAATAATAAAGTTTTTTTTGTTTTTAGTCTAATGAAATCTTTTTGAAAAAATAGGCTACAGAAAGTTTGAATTAATGAAAAAAATAGCTATTTGGCATATTTGCTATCATTTTTTATGTGTAAATCACTGATATATGAACCCTGGACTGCATAATCTGGCTCGAGGATATTTGCTATCATTTTTATTTTTGGTTTTTCTATATTAAAGATGAAATGAAGAGAAAATTTAAGAGCTCTCTTTTTATTCAATATTTTATTTGTCTTCTTTGTTTTTTAATTTATCGAATTTCATTTAATTTTGATATAATTTTCTTTGACATATATTTTTTAAAATAGATGTAAAGATAATTAGACCTTTGAGATTTTAATTTTTTTAAATATTTCTTAAATAAATATATAAGACTTTAAAATTTTTGATTTAATCTCATGTATTTCTATATATAATCTTGACAAAGAATCTTCCACGTGGAGTTGATAACTTTAAGCAATTTATTTTTGGATTCTGTGTAAGAACATGAAGTTTAAAATTTATATGTTATTGACAAAATATTTTGCAGTATGGTAAGACAAATTTTTAGTTATTTTATATAATTAATTAATAATAAAATTATATTTTTTTATTAAAGAGAGAAAAAATATTATTTTCTTTTTAATTAAATATTACATTATAAGATATGCTAAATTTTTATTAAAATTTGAAAAAGGAGTGAACCAAAATATATTTTTCTTTTTAATTTAAATATTACATTATAAAGATATGCTAAAAAACAAATCATTATAAGTATATTAATACTACTTATAATCTATATATATTAGAATATTATATCCTATATATATATATAATATACATATATTGCAAAAATATAAAATATTCAATTATTGTATTTTATTTTCTGATATAAATAAAAATTTTTATCGTATTTAATAACTTATTATAAATTGTACTAATTTAATTAAAACGAGATATAAAAACGATGTAAAATGCAGTAGAAATGAACTGACAACGTTTGTGGCAAAAAGAACTGTTATGAGCACAAAGGAAACATTATTATTACTGCTCAATAAACGATAGCGGGAAAAAAAATAAAAACAAAAAATTTTATGGGCTTTTCGCCTTTCTGATTAACTAATGGACGGTTTAAGTAACGAGGTTCATGGTAAGAATTCCAGCATCTCACTGTCGCTACATTCCATGTCACATCTTTATGGGTGGCTCTAAATAAAATCCTACCTTACACCCACCCAATCGTTCACTTCCCTTCGACATATGTATTTTTTTTTTCCCGATTAATTTAATTCACACATTTTTTTTTTTTTTATTTATTTTTTTTTTTTTGTTGTGTTTTTTTTTTGTATTTTTATTTGTTTTAACCATACATCTATATCCTTCTTGCCCTCCATTTTCCTCGCTACAATTTTTATTCCAAAGCTTTGCCTTCGTGGCGCCTTTCTTTTCATAGAATTCGATCTCCCCTCTGACCCTTCTCTTTTCCTCGCATCTTTCTTTGATATAAATAAAAATTTATATTTTAATATTATATAAATACTAAAATTAAACGAGTATAAAAACGATGTAAATGAGTAGAATGAACCTGCAACGTTGTGCAAAGAACTGTTAATGCAAAAAGGAAACAATTATTACTGCTCAAAACGAACCAAAAAAAAAAAAACAAAAAATGGGCTTTTGCCTTATCAGAAACTACGAAGTAAGAGGTCCATGTAAGAATCCAGTCCACTGTCGCTACACATGTCCACTTTATTCTCAAAAAAATCCTACCACACCCACCCATCGTTCACTTCCCTTGACATATGTATTTTTTTTTCCGATTAATTTAAATGTCATTTTTATTTTTATTTGTTTAACATAATCTATATCCTTCTTGCCCTCAATTTCTCATTTTTATTCCAAGCTTTGCCTTCGTCGCCTTTCTTTTCATAGATTCTCCACCTCTGACCCCTCTCTTTCCGCATCTCTCTCTTCCTCACTTCATTAGATCTCAACAAACACGTACAGGAAAACCTCAGTTAACCACCCATGACGCTTGGCTCAGGAGGATCGAGTGTCGTGGGTCAGTTCCTTTCAATCTTATTTAGCACACACTTTTCTGAGTTTTTGGGTCTGATCTTGTTTGTTTCTAATAAAATCTGTTGCAGATATCATTTGTTTTATATGTTTGATGCTTCTTTTGATTTGGGATTTCCTTAATTTTGTCTTTTTCTGTGGATTTGGTGTTGTGGGTTTTTGTAAGCTTTCCATGGTGAAATCCATCTGTAATTTCTGTGTTTGAAGGTCTCTGCTGTGTTCTTTGGGGCGAGTGATTATTAGTTTGGGTAAATCTGCTTTTTTATTTATGTATTAAGTTCTAAATTATTTCTGTCCAATTTAATTTGTATTCCTTGCTCCTTGTTTGATCGATTTTATGTAATGGAGCTGTTTTCCCAATTATCGAGTATTGGCAACTCTACTGGATACTGATTCTCTAAGTTAGATTTTGGGAAATTGCTTGAGATTCTTATTTGACGAGAAGTGCTGCAACCACTTGAAGAAAGATGCTCCGGCCAATTTGTATAATGGCTACATACTGATATTTGTATCAAAATTGTGTATTGTCTTTTTGTATACTTGTCAGAAGAAGGAAGTATTTGTTTGCTGAATTTTCAGCACAGATTTAATCTAAAGGTTCAACAAAATATTGAATCCCTGAAAAAGGCCTACCATTTTTCCCATTTTCATTTTCCCCTGATTACTCCCGTATGAAATGACCTGTGTTTTTCCTGATCGAAATAATGGTTAACTGGTAATGCCCATGTGCGCTTGCATACGTCTTGGTGATTTTAATGAAGTGTTACAATTGGGTATACCCATACAATGGTGCATATGTATTTCTCTGCATGAATCAACCATTCTTGAAGTAAAGTTTGAATTTATGATATCTTAGTAAAAAACTATTTAACGTTATTTTGTTGAAGACATCGGGTTTTTTTATTTTTTTATTTTCTCATTTTTTTCTATTAGTTTAATTTTGGCATGGTTTGTATTGGATTTCTAAATTGAACTTTGGCTGTTTTCAATAGTTTTAATTCTTTGATTAATGCAAACTGAAGGATTGGGCTATTTGCTATGTCTCATAAAACAAAATGGTATTGGTTGCTATTTTGCCCATGTTATTTGCGCAACTAACTTCTTAAATTTTGGGGGAAGTCCCTAGGAACTTCAGATTGCTGGAGGAACTTGAACGTGGTGAAAAAGGTATTGGTGATGGAACTGTAAGCTATGGAATGGACGATGGGGATGATATCTACATGCGTTCCTGGACTGGCACTATCATTGGTCCTCACAATGTAATTGTTTCTTCTAATGTTGCTGCTTTCTATCACTTTTTAAACCATTCCATAAGATGTATTATACCCTGCTTGTATAGTATGTATGCAGCCTGTTAGAATTGATAATTTAATTATGATTCATTGAAGACTTGCAGTGGGCTTTGGTCAAAGTCAGCAAAGAATTGTTGCATGTGGATGGCAGTTATGTTTTAAATTTTATTGAACCAAAGAATCTAAATTTTAGGCGGTCCTGGAATTATTAGGGATGGGGTTTTTTGTACAACGCAACTAGTGTTGTTATTTCAAATCTTTTCTGTTCTTTTTTATTTTTTCAATTTTTCTGAATTGCAATTGTCATGCAGGTTTCAGACTTCCCTTTTTTTGTTGTTTTAGTTTTTCTACAAGTTCACTAATTCTGTATGATTAGTGTCAGAGGATGTTTTGAAGTTCATTCTTGATATTCGTCTTGTTTTATTTTGTAATACATATTTAGTGACTTAGATGATAATGGTAATGGTGAGACTTAAAATGTAATTAAACTTGTTTGTTAAAGATGACAGGGTGAGAACTTGGGATTGTTAATCCTTACCAAGAAGGTTGGGGGAAAAAAATCTCCTGCTGACTTGTGCAAGACAGCAGATTCATCATGGCTAAGCTTCATTCCTTAGTAAATTCACAGGTCATTTGATGGATTTGCAACCAATTCAATTTGATTAAATCACAAAGTTAACAGTTTTGGTCCAAGGTCACCTCTTGAAGTGCCATAAGATTGTTCGGATTGTTAGGAGGGGAATTTCTCTCAAATTAAAAGAGATAATGAATGGACATGAAGTTCCCAGATAGTTAATCCTTAATTAATGCCACGAAGCAAGCATAGAAAGCACTTTTTCATCCATTAAACTGAAGGCAGAAACTTTTATTTTGCTCGTGACATTGTTTAATTGTACTGCAGAATGAAAAGTATAGCTGTTCTTTTCTTCCATTTTTTTGCTTCTCACAATTTGCATTATAAAGGTTTTCATGTTGAATCAGTTCTCGTCTTTTCCTTTGTCAGACTGTACATGAAGGTCGAATTTATCAGTTGAAGCTGTTCTGTGATAAAGATTACCCAGAGAAGCCACCAAGTGTTCGATTTCATTCGCGGATCAATATGACTTGTGTTAACCATGAAACTGGGGTGGTATGGCTATATGCAAAAACTCCATTCACCTATCCTAATTTGTTATGTATTCAGTACTTCAGCAACAATCTATGTCACAAAAAAAATGTTTTCCAGCTTCGTTGTATGATGTCCAGTTTAACATGTGTACTGTATTTGAATAAGAACTCGCGAATGATGTGGTAACTTGTTAATATTTGTTTGCTGCAGGTGGAACCAAAGAAGTTTGGACTTCTTGCAAATTGGCAGCGAGAGTACACTATGGAGGATATACTGACGCAGCTGAAGAAGGAGATGGCAGCCCCACACAATCGGAAGCTAGTCCAACCTCCTGAGGGTACCTACTTTTAGCTTTGAAGGTCTCATATAGATATATATAACATATTGCGTTTGCATTTTATGCAATATGCAATATATAGTTTGTAATCCTGTGTTGATCTGGTGAAGTTTGGAACATACAGGGGAACGCCCTTAAAAAGCTTCTCCAGCTACTTCTCCATGGCTTCTTTGTCATTTTGTTGTCTTCTCTTATGAAACTATGTTGAAGGGATGCTGTTTGATTAATGGGATTTATCCGTGTGTCAAATATTTAAAAAAACCCATTAAGTAGTATTTTAGCTCAAACTTCTACACCGAAATTCTACATGTTTTCCATTGTTTTCTACATTCTTCTCTGGCCATCTTGCTAGTGAAGAAATTCCACCTATGTTTTGCTTTAACGGTTTAACATTAGGATATCTGCAGAGGAGCCTCTCTTCTCTTCTTGCAGGCTTAAGCAATTCCCCAGCAATGGAAATTTCAGAGCACTCTGGAGTTGCATTACTTTGCAAAATCCTGCAAATGGAAATGCACGTGTATACGTACAGTATAGGGAGATTATTCAATGCACTCTGGTGCAGAGTTTATGTGCTCTATAAACTCTTTCCGCAATAATTGTAGTGTGCATTGAATAATTTCTCATGGATAGCTTTAGTCATTTGTGGATGTTGAACTTATAAATGTTATTGTGGTAAATTGGAAATATAAAATTGGATATAGTGGTAAATTAAGACATCAACGTGTCTCTGTTATTGAATCGTGTCAGCTTAATGGTTAGAATTTTGTACCGTGCAGTTGAAACAAGGTAAAACAATTCAATATCATGCACATATTCCAAAACGCCTGTTTTCAAATTGAGTGACGCATTTTCCCTTTAAATTTTATTTATTTATTTATTTATTTCCAATAAGAAGTATTTTAATTTTGATCATGGCGGATATGTTGGAAATAAATTTTAACTAGTTCGATACTCTGGTTTCGTATGTTTTATTTCTACTTCGAGTAATATCTTTTTTATTTATTACGATGCTTAATAGGTTGAAACAATGTGATGGGCTACCCAATAGGGGTTGTCTTTCTCGTTTACTTATCAAATTGGTGAAAAAATTGTTGAAATTTATTGCAGTTGAAAGAATTCAAATTTGAGATATTTTATTTTTTACACTTATGAGAAGATCAATCAAACTATACATGATTTATTTAGAATTATATTTTTTAGTTCTTTAATCTATATAATATATAAAAACAGAGCAATTAGTCAGCATAATTGCAAAAAGATAAATTGTATGATTTTATATTTTCGGGTAATGTCAAATAAGAGAAAAAAAAAAGAAAAATAAATTAATATTAATAAGTAAAAACTATTTTATTTGGAAATAAAAAAGGAATATAAGGAAAAAATTTCTTCTAATTTTCTCTTCAAATTAGAAGGAATATAAAAAACTATAAAAATAAATTTATAGAGAAAAATTAATTTTATTTTTTTTTATATCCAAAAAAAGTAATATAAGTTTTTTCTGAAAAAAAAAAGAAGAAATTTAGTTCCTTCTTATTTTTTTTTTATCATTCATTAATAGAAAAAGACACAAAAATAAATTAGAAAGACACGTTATTTTTTTCCTGATAATAAAAAAAACCTTGGTTGATTAGTTTGGTGTATAATATAGTTTCATATATCAGGAGTTAGGTTGCACAGACACGAGACACAAGGAGTTAGGTTGTACATACATGAGACACGCGAGACACAAGGAGTTAGGTTGCACAGACATGAGACACGAGATACGAGAATATACGCTAGGTTGCACAGACATGAGACACAAGATACGAGAATATACGCAATATGACAATTTTTTTAAAAAAATAGGAAATGCACATGTTTAAGACACACTACACTAAATAGTACAATAGATTAATATTTCAAATAAATTGCACACGCTTAAAACACACGACACTAAATAGTATAATACATTAATATTTCAAATAAATAAACATAAACATAAAATAAAAAAAAACTTAATTTCTTATTTCAATATAATTGACCTACGAGTTTATACTGTATAAGAATATTTATTCGCCTAGGGTATCAGCTGAACAGCACAATGAGACAGCATTATGAGTAACGAAGTTATAAGTGATAGCAGGCTTTTGATATATTTGAACTCAAACATTTTTTTCTAAAAAAGATATAGGAAATGCACATGTTTAAGGACACACTACACTAAAAGTAACATAGATTAATATTTCACAATAAATTGCACACGCTTAAAACACCACGACACTAAATAGTAATAATACATTAATATTTCAATAAATAAACATAAACATAAAATAAAACTAATACATTAATATTTCAAATAAATAAACATAAACATAAAATAAAAAAAAACTTAATTTCTTATTTCAATATAATTAGTTAAAATTTCAAAATTATTATCATAATTGAAAAAAATATATTAATATTCTATGTGCATTTTTTTATGCAGGTTATACTAAGGGTGTCAAAATAGGTAATGACACGTGAACATGATTCGCCTCACACGCGAAATAAATGGATTAAGGTTGACGTTAAATGGATTCGTGTCATAAACGGGTTACCAATTTATAACTTGAATATAAATGTGTCATGTCGCGAGTTGACACGTGTGTTAAACGATTGATTCGTTTATTTAAGAGTAAAGATGTAATTTTACTGTTAGATATAAATACTCAAACTAAAATCTATTTAAATTTTATCGTTGTATTTTTTCATTTTAGTTATGAATTTTGAAGAATTTTATGCATTTTATGTGTAAAAATTTATTTTAAAATATGATCGGAGTTAAATAGGTTAAAATTTAAAAATACTACGACCTACTTAACCTGCTTATGATATTAAACGGGTTATATGGACCAATACGATCCACTTAACCTGTTTATAATATTAGACGGATTAAACGTGTTGTATTCATATCACCTGCCTAATTTTCATATCGTGTTCATGTCGATATTATAAAAGATTATTTTATCTTTCAATATTGCTCTCCAAATCGCGGGTTTCTAACACTAGTTATACTTAATATACATCTCTATCAACATACAAATTATTAATAATAATAATTAATTATGGTAGGAACAATTAAATAAAATATGGATTTTTAATATTTCTATATTGAAAAAAAGATGTTAGGGCAGGTTAGGAAAGAAATAAAAAATGTGAATATGTTTTAATTATATTAACCATATTTTTTTAATCACTGAAAATTAAACTATACTTACTTTTATGGAACGAAATGTTAATTTTACTTTTGTATTTTCTCATAGAAAAATCAATGATATTTGAACTAGATAGGCACCTATTCTATCGGGGCTCTAGTGAAATATAGGGCCAACTAATCAATCCTATCCGATTTCCTGTATATAAGATCAAGACCGTCTTAGGGAAACAATTAATGTCCATTCTGAATATCACTACAGCCCCATTATTCTCATTTTATGGTATTTTGAGACTATCGAAACCTTATTCATATTAAGAATACTCTTGAACATGTTAAGAATACCCTTGAAGATATAACTCCTGTGAAAATTATTGTAAAATTAATTATTTTAGTAACTATTAGTTAATTGTTTTAATAAACACTATTCGTCCTAAAAAATAAAAGTTATGCAATGGAATACTACAAATGTAATATGTTTACCTAATCAAAAGTAAACACAACGTCTTTTTGGATACATGGGAGGTCTGACAGACCGAAATAATATTGTGTGCTGCATATGAGCAATTTTTTTTTGAATAACATTCACTAAATTAATGATAATTTATAGTGGAAAGAACTTGAACTCCAGACCTCTTACGATAGTAAACACCATATTGATTGAATAAGAAGAAACGAAAAACTAATTAAGAAGCCTAATAATAAAATATATAATAAAGTTTAAAAAAAAAAAAATACTGAATCATAATTTATACACTTTATAAGGTGGTAGCCCCACCACGGTTGGTGAGTGGGCAAATGGCCGACCCATTTTTATCTCAATGGTTCGTTGCTTCAAACCTTTATTATTATTATTATTATTATTAATAGTAAGATTCGATGCTTCTAAACAAATAAATAGAAATGTTACACGGCACATGCACTGAATTGTCTCTCTCTCAATATCCAAATTTATAAAACCGTTTCTTTGTAAAGCACACGGTATTCACATTACTTGCTTCTAACTTTTTAAAAACCCACTTTATGATTTGATTTTATTAAAAGGTCATCAACTAATTAATTATTTTTAATTTTTGAATTTTACTCCAAATTGTTATCGTTCAAATTTAGTTCCATCTAAACTATTTTATCATTTGTTTTAAAAAAATATTATTTTTGTTTTAAAATACATTGTAATACTTAACTATATGCCGTTTAATTATAATGTTAACTATTTCATTACTATTTATTTTATCAGTTTTAAATGGAAAGACTAAATAGTTTAACGACTAAACCTAATAAATGAAATAATGATTTTTTTCTATATAGTATGAATATAATAGTAATTTAAACTTGTTAATATACAATAATAAATAATATTAAAATAATGATATTAGACTCCTAAGTAAGTTCAAATTAACAGATAATACATGATTCGTAATACTTATTTTAATACAATTGTCATAAGTCCACTATAAATACTCAAAATTACTCCATTAAGCGGTTAATTCACAATTTACTACACCTCAATACCATATGCGTAATTAAATCGTTAATCCTATATTGCCGTTAAATATATAATGTTTAAAATTTATTAATACTAAAAAACTATTAGTCATTAACGTGATTTTTAATTTTATCAGTATTTAAAATGGCCAAGACCTAATATGATGTTTTAACGGACTAAACTAATAAAATGAATAAATTGGATTTTTTTTCTCACCTTAGTAATAGATAATTCGCATAGTAATAGTAATTTTCGCACAACTTGTTAATAGAATATACAATAATAAAATAATATTAAAAATAATTGAATATTAGAACTCCTAAGTAAATTCCAAATTAACAGATAAAACATGATTC